CAACTCTGGCCATTCTGTGATTCTATACTTTCAATAAATTTCGATAGTCTGAGTATCAATTCAGTAGCTCAGATCACAGTACCATTTTTCAGACTACTTCTGAAATAATATACTACTTCTTGCCTTATGTACCTGTTTAAATATGCTGATTCCGTAAAACTGTAAGTTATTTTCTTGTCAAGTTTTTGTCTGTCACACTTTCTTAATTAGATTTGTTGATTTATTGTAAACAAAGATGAAATGTCTTGTTCCAGACACAGTTAATGGTTTTTGCAGTCATTTTAAACTGGCGCAGAAGTAATTTCTCATAAGCTTCAAAGATGTCTACTGATTCACTAGAATCACTTTGCTGTTAAATTTATTCTCATCACAAAAGAGAGTAGGCAAAACATTTACATCTAAGTCACAGAGAAAAATATTTGGACAAATTTTTTTTATACAAAATTCTAATGGTCACTTCCATGGAAGAATTACAAAAGTGATAGTAAGATTCTACTGAGAAATTTATTTAAAATGTATTTGATCAACTTCTCCTACTTTAAAATTGAAAAAAACTATTTATTGGTGGACTGGCGGACATATTGTTAAATTTTTACTAAGGAGAAGCAAAAGAAAAAAAAAAGCAAGCCTGATTTCATGTATAAATTGATAAATACCATTACAGGTATCCTGAAACGTTCCAGATTAATGATAGATAAATGTTGAAGGGACTGAGGAAATTGATTTTAATCTAACAGCGTATAATAAGAAAAAAGAATTATCTTGCAACATATTTTTTGTAAAACACTTGCACTGTGATGTTTTCCTTACATTTAACAACATCAAAACTAGGGTACTGTTAATAAGCAAACTACTTAAACAACTTTCGCTCTCTCTATATATGAGTATTTTTTAAATGATCTCTTGAAATATTTGCAGAATAAATTAATCAATCTATTTTTTTCCACCGTTTGTTCAGGTTTCATTAACAATAAGGGCCATCAGCCAAATTCAAGATATGAATAGAATTTAATTTCATTACCACTTCATTAATAAGAAAATAAGAGCTCAAGAATCTGCCAAGGTCTCACAACAAGAGACTGTGAGGTGGGCCTAATAGCCGGTTCCTCTCTGCCTCCTGGTTAGCTTTTTCCAGCCACCAACAGGGAGGGAGACTGGATGTGCAAACAAAATGCAATTCTAATAGCAACATCTGGAAGAATCACATTTTGTTTCCCAATCATAGTGGGAAAAGTTTTCCTATTCTTCTTTCACATTTCTCTCAGAAAAGATTTGATTATTTGAGGGCACATGATATTTGTTTTCAACGCAATCTTTTCCAAAAACAAAGCACAGGCAATTTTGACCTATTCCAGAAGAGAATAAACCTAATGAGTTCCTAGGACAGGCCCTTACATTAAACACTTCAGAGTTAGACTGTACTCCTTTATAAGGACCATACCTTCACTCATTTTAATTCCTTCTTTTCACTGTAATATAAGGACCTATGAAACTTTCAAAGACTTATAGTAAGAATATAGCATTCTCATTGAGTTCTGTATCTTCATTCGTTTAATATTACTATATTAACATGCAGAAGTGATAACTTCACACAGATTGATGTAGAAATCTTTAAAAAAAATAAACAAACGATACAGCTACTGTAAAAAAGTCGATTAAAAGAAAGCAGATTTTTATTCCAAAGTTAGATAAACAATCTAAAAAAAATGGAATTCAAATTAACTTTTGGGAAAAAATGGTCTTAGATACTTGTATATATACTTGTTAGATATTTGTATGTAATACAATACAAAATAAATACAATCTAAAAATGATGTACATATACATAATTGAATTTTAAAATATTTCAATATTTTCAAAATATTATTGGTCTATGATTAAACCAAAATACTAAGAAAACAAATACAGTTATTCACTTCAGAGAAAACTTCAACTTTTGAAAAGCTAATAAATAGCAATGTTTGAAAAATCATTTCTGAATTCAGTAATGCCTTAAAAAATTTCAGTAAACTACCTCTTTAGAATTATGCAGTAGCAGTGTGGACTGTCTGCCTAATTATCAGTTCTGCTGCTGCAGAATAAGCATGACAGACTGAGATAAAAACATTCTGTTATAAGTACTACAGATGTGGAAAAAAAAAATTATCTGTTCATTATTATTAGCAGGAGATATTTAAAATCTCAAAGAAATTGGACTGCAGTGTGTAAGGAAGAAACAAAGACCAAAGTTTCATTACCTAGCAAAATGAAATTTAAAGATAAGGAAAAAAAATCCCACAAACTTTAGTAGCTTAAGTGGGTGAGTCAATCAGAATCCACTTGCTCTCTTTTCTGTACTACATTTCAACATTACAATTTATACTACATGTTAATAACATACTAGTTAATATTGCTGCCAGTTGTGTCAAATTTAATTGCAAATGTTTGTGTGGAGAGCAGGAGGCTAATCAGTTGCTCTGTGCTCAGTAGAGAAGGAATTATTTGTTTTGTGGTATAATAGGTAGCTGGTAGGACAGGTTTGTCCTTTACGGACACAGTGTTTAATGGAGAACATGTAGGTTTAGGTGTTTCACTAGAAACTGTTTCTTGAAGATTTGTAAGGCAAACAACAATGAAAAAAGCTGAGACACAACACTAAGAAAAATCAAGGCACAAATATAAAACCATAGGTGTTACAGACCATGAGAAAAACCTCAGAGAAACTACAGAAGAGCACCAAAGAATCAAATTCCAGAAAAAATATACATATTACAAACAAACACTAAATAAATGAAGAATTATGTAGTTCTCTTTGAGTTTTTGGTCTAATGCAGCTCTTTTGATCAATTCTGGATTTCACTTTGTGTGAATTTTGAAATCCCTTTGCACAGTTGGAACACTTTCTGCTTAAAATTGTGTAGAATACCTTCAGAATCTATACCGATTGTGGTATAAAAATAGATAAGCAATCTTTTCTTTGGAAAAGGCTGCTTATTACTTAATGTTACTCTATTTTAATTTTTTTGTAATTCCATTAAAATGTCCATTTATTAACATTCTTATATGTAAAAAATGTGTTCTTTATTTCATTAAAATGCTGCCAATGTTAAAATTCTATTTTCAGGGACTTTATGATGAACTTTTTGGAATAGTAATGACAGGGGCAGAAGGAGGCAATGAATATTTTAATGGACAGTTTGGCGCAATTTGTTTTGACTTTCATTAATGTTTCACATAAGCAAGTGTAGCCTGTTCCTCTGCATTCTGCTTCCCTTTCTATGCCAACTCCAGAGAGAACACAAGACTGAAAGGTATCCTTGTCTATATATTTAGCTAAGCTTGATACAATAAGGTTAACCTACACACGGATTTAATAAAGACCTTGGGAATTCTGGCATAAATGCAACAAGATTTCATCTGCACACAGCATTTTCCTTTCGTTATTTTACTTTGGCAGCCCAAGTTCAGAACTCCAGGTGGATGGATTAATAGTCTTATCTAAAACATAAATATTACTAAGGAATTTGTATTCATTTCTTTAGATTGACAGAAGAAAAGGAAATTATTTTCACAGCCTACTACCTGAGGTATCTTCTTGTTCTTATTCTTTGAGACAATTTTTTTTTTTACCCAGACTCATTATCCTTTGCTTATCAAACTAACCTATCATTCTAGATTGTTGGGTTTCTTTAACACTTGACATCCTATTTCTTGGCTTTCAAGTCTGCTGTATAAAATGAACTCAGGCTCAAAACATCATAAAACATATGATTATTGTAATGGATCATCAGTGCTAAGCAGTTTTTAATTAAGAGAAGATGCTCCATGACAAAGTAAACTTGTCAACCCTTTAAAAAAACGTAATGAAGGGCTGAACCATGGAAGTCTAGTGATTAGATTTACTGTAAAACTATAATGATGGTGAGAACCTATAACCACTGTATACATAATCAATGCAAGACTATTCTTATGATAAGCTGAGAAAGTGGAAAGGATTAGTTGAGGACAGACTTCTTCACCACTAAATTTAGCAAAGATTGTTCGACCCTAGAAGCATCCTACAGGGTTTATATTTTTAATAAAGTTTTAACAGCTGTTCATGCAAATTCTCCTCTAAATCATTATCAAACATGTTCTAAAGCCATTCATACATATAGCTAATTCATTCTGTGCCTGACAATCCTTCTGCTGAAGCAGTGTCAGCAAAATAGCTGATTATACTAGATTTGGTTAAGGTTCATTTGCAACTTCTGATTAAACTGCTTTTATTGTATTGGATTGTAATGCTAGTCAGAATTAGCTAGATGCTGAAACACGACCAAAACTGATCACAGAATGAATTCTAAGAAGATCAGACAGAAGTATAAAGGGGACTAACCTACAGTGTGTTTGTTAAGATTAGCAGCAGAGCAAAACAAACTGCTGTTCACAGGAATTGTAATTTTGAGATTTAATTTTACTCAGAGGTAGAACTCACAACAGAAGTTCAAAGGCATGACTTTGTGTTTTAATTAAAATTACACAGGGCTCCAAGGTAAACATTTGTAATTCATGCTTAAACAAAACGACTTAATTCTGTGTTCAAATATAAAACAGGATCGATATCCTGCATAACATTTTTCCCCTGTACCAGCAGCAGCTGCCTATTCTGAACATCAGCAAACTCACCACTCAGTACAAACCGGGTGGATCAGTGACTGATACTGAGTATCAGATAGCATTAAGAAAAATCAGATGAATGTGCTGTAGGCAACTTCATGTTACAAGAAATAAGACAATTCTCTTCATTGTTTTTATAAATCAGCATATAAAATAACAGCCTCCTGTCAGGATCAGCATTTTTTAAACAAGTCATTACCTTTTTCCTTTCACTTCAGGCTTAGACAAAACCACCACCAGCACATCATCATCATTTAAAAGGAAAAACCTTTTATTTAGAAGTGCATGGTTCTTGTCTCAGTCTGCGTTGTAATGCACAACATTAACCTGAGTAATTGGAAAGGTGTAAAATCATTTTTTTCTCCTCTATTTTCATATAAATTTCCAGTGGTTTTGTTCATAATCCTAGGATCACAAAAGAAAAAGGAATAATTTATGACTTGGCAATAATAAGCACACAATAAAAACTGTGCGATACAAATCTTTGACAAAACCCTAATGATAATTAGGCTGTTTAATTAAGCTGTCTCTAATTAGAGGTAATCTCTCTGTAAACAAGAAAGGAGGTGCCAAATGTACTGACTTAAAACAGTTCACTGATTACGTATTAAAAGTTATGAGACTGTTTCACTGTTTCAGTATGTTCACATAGCTCTGAAATTAAGAAATATTTTGCAAAAATATGTTGCTCAAAGTTATTGCTGTTTTGATTTCAGCTGTCACAATAATTTCAAGGAGCACCCTACTGTTCTTCTCTATATATAAATTCCTGTAAAATACTGTATTGAGAGATTATGATTCATCAGAAAACAATTGTTTCCCTCCCTAGCCAGTTTTCGATTCTGTCTCAAACAAATAGTTTTTGTTTTGTCTAAAAAAAAAAAAAACAAAAAAATTTATAGAACTTTTAACTAAGCAAGGTGACCTCCAAAGCACCCATCATTTAGGAAAAAAACACACCTGATGCAACCACTGTGATATTCTCTGTAATTTTTTTTTTTTTTTTGAAGACCTGATTCAAATATACTCCAAGATTTTATTTTCAGCATGAGAACAGACTTTGATGATCTTGTAGTGGTAAAATGCTGTGTTATTTATCAATCAATTGCAGAGGCTGACATTCTTTTCCATTAGCTTCTCATTAGCTTGAAGTATTACAGTGAAAGAAAAAAAAAAAAATCAGTAAAGAATTCTGACATACTTCATCTTCATATAGGTGAAAAGAGATTAATGAAATTTACTTAAGCCACTTCACTGTGGCTTTCACTTCAAGTGTAGTAAAGCATCACATTCTCCTAGCCCATGAAAAACCCATGTGTAGGTACTGAGGTGTAGGTGTACCTCAGCAAAACACTGTCTTTTAATGCTGTGCCAAATAAGCATACACTTTTCTTGCCATACAATGGGTTGTACATACACTGCCATAATTCCATGTTGCCTCATCACCATTTCAGAAATTTTGTTTCCCTTTAGTCCTTCAAACGTAAAAATTAAATAAGCAATAAGCTGTCTTATCAATATTAAACATGAAAAGAGATTATTAGAAATAACTTGTGATCTAAAAATGCTAAGGACTCAATGGGGTCCCCAAGTCTGAAATTTACATGGCAAGCAGAAAACCTAAACTATGTGAAAAAAAGGATGTCTAAGCTCAAAGTTCTGGGATTTTATTTTATTTGGGAAGTATAGCAAATTTTCTGATTCCTACAAAAGCGAGGATTTACAGCAATCTCCGTACGATGCCCTGGAGGCCCTTCAAACCATTGTAAATAGCCTTGGAACAGAAGCAATTGTTCTTATACTTCAGAAGCTTTATGGAGAGAGCTTGAATTAAATGAAATAGAAACACTAAGGAAAAAAAAATCCAATTTTCTAACAAATATAACAATCATACCAAAAGCTAAATCTCACAATCAGTGGATTGAAGAGATCAGTGGATGAATTTTCAGGATAGTTATAACAAACTGCTCAACTCACATTAGAAATAGATAATGGAAATTGTAGCAGATTTCACTTCAAGCAAGACATGGTAGACAAATATGTTGCTTGGTAGTGCTGGATGAGGAGGTGAGATAGAACAAAACCAACAGCAGCAACAAAACCCTGTAGAGAAACCAATAGCAAAAACACGTTCCAGAAAATGATCAAAGAGAGAAAAAAGATTTGTACAACTACCTGTAGGATAAATACTGCCTAGAGAATATTTGGAAGGGAAATCAGTGGAACTAACTTCTTTTGAGTCCTTGAGGATTTTTTTTTTCCAAACAGCAGAAAATCATCAAAAATAGAAGCACAAATTTCCATGCCAGTCCCTAAATCTCAGATAGCCCTCTAGTTCCCATAAAAGTCCCTATGGGATCCTAAACACACTGTTAGCAATAATTTTATTCTTTCAAAACCTCTTCATCTGAAGGGGAAAATAAAAGAAGTAGGGAAAATCACAGTAAGCTTTTGGACAAGATAAATATCACCCATTTTGTACTGTTTTTGTTCACATTTCATCAATCTGTTTGGGCATTTCCTAAAACTGATAAGTAGCTGGAAATTGCCGTTCAATTACTTGTTTCCATCCTACCATTTCACTTTTCTCTTTGTGTTTATTGGTTCCTTTGCAGTGCAAGCATTGCTCCTGTAGTACAGACAGTACATTTCCTAGGCTTTATCTGAAAATATGAGAAATAGTATACAGGCTTTTTCTTCTTCTAAAAGCCTACAAACCGTTTCCACACATGGTAGTGCTTCTGCATAGGGACAACATGTGGGATCTGTTACTATCAAGTATAAGCCTGTGCTATCCCCTATGAAAGAATATAAGCCAAGTTAAAGCTTTAATAATGTTATTCTTGCCTCACCCTCCACACTCTTTAGCTAGTCTTTGGGGCAGGCAATGACTATGGCAATCTGTCTGTTAAGGATTGGTGTGTTGTATTATTATTCCACCTCACTATCTTTCATACTTCTCTCGCAATTCGAACAGTGTTTATGTCTGTCACTTGTTTAGCAACGTGAGTACATCGCATTCTGTTCATCTCAATTAGAAACATCCTGTGACTAAACATATAATTTGAATTATGCAGCATTTAGTCTATATGACTACTGTTGCATACCAAATATCCACTGTATAAAATGTCTTTCCATTGTCCTTTTTGATAAACCGACTTACACAATCTAAAAAGGACACGGTGGAGAAATAACATCACATGGAATAGAAGTTCAGGCATTGAACAGAATTTAACTCAACTGTTTAAACACTTCACTGCAGAAAAATTAGCTACATGAAGCATCAGACTGCACAGAAGTGTCAAACTGCGCAGATGGCAAAGGAGGTTCCTTTAATGCACTATAACAGTTTTTGTCTTACCTAGGATACAAAATAACCTTACAATTCCTCCCACATTTTAATGAAATTTCAGAAAGCATTTGAGAGTCATTTGCAATAGTAAAGCAATAGAACTGGAGAAAGGATGATTTTTCAGGAGGGACTGAAACCTAATTTGAAACTTAGTAGCAGGATTGTTTGTGCGTTTGTCTGAAACTCAAAGAAAATTTTTGATAAAAGAAAAGGACCAGCTGTCAAAAAATCTCATACTGTCCTGCACACACTACAAATACGCCTTGTGCCTAGAAGCCATCCTCATCAAACAATGCCAACCCAGCAGCTCCTAATGAAAAGTAGGCAAGGCAATGCGATGGCATTCCCTATGACAGCAGTGTTTTCCATCTTTGGCTAATTTTTCCATTATATTCTTGCATTTTTCACAGATTCTTACTGAGAACGTTCCCACTGCCCTGCCTCTGCTACCTGAAAACTAATGAGCAGCACTAGCGATAGGTGTGCAGCTGTGCTATATGTACATCTCTCAGTACATTCAGTAAAATTCCTGCTTCTACTAGTTTTCCCAATTATCACAACACGATATAGATTCACAAATACATTAACTCACAGGATACTTACTGTAGAAGCAGACTAAAGCAGACTACAGCTCCTGCCACATGCCCACATTCTGGTCTTGGAGACTTGGCAGTTTGCTTAGATACTGATCCAGTCTTCAGGTACTTTCACTCTACAGAATCTTTTTGTTTGTTTTTCAAATCAAACAGAAGACATTTCTCCTTCCCCTTCTTTGTTCAGCTTCACTGAATTCTGGTAAATCTGAGCCAGATCATGCACGGTATTTTCTGTTCTTTTCCATGTAGAGTTTTTTTGGACATTGTTTTCGTTGGGTTTTTTTCTTTCCCTACAGATCTAAATGAAAATTAGCATCCGATTGTTACAGCATTAACAATGTTATGCTGTACATAAACACAACAAACATAACAGTCTAAAAGCATAGACTAGTAAGGATGTAAGCATAAAATGAAGAAATACTCAAATTAACAAATATACACTCGATGGTGAAGCACAAGTGCCTATTCCTGTAGAGCTATCTCTGTGGGGAAAAAAAAGCCTTGACATTGTAGGCCAAGATGCTTTCAGAGCCACATTCATGAATTCAATGTTTTGTAAGGCAGAGGCACAGAGCTGATGATTCGCCTGAGCTTTGTTTGGAAGAACATTCTCAATTTTCCAGAAACTGCACAAGACATCAAGATCATTAAGGTTCCTTCTATGTTTACCTGCATTTAAATAAAACCATAGTTTGGCTGAGAACACTTACAGTGATATTAACACAGAAGAGCTATTATGATAAATCAAATAATTCTTATCATACTCTGAATATTACAGGAAAAATATTGGTATGCTATTTTCTCTTTGAAAAATAGCTTTTTGGGATTTAGATTACACAGATAAAGGCAAAAGTTAGCAAGATCATCAGGCAATTAATATATTTTGTTCTAATGTGTTCAACAAAAGCTCTAGAAAAAAACAAAGTACAATTATTATTATTATAGAACACGCAACTCATTTCAATAATAAGCCTGGTGCAATGCAATTTGATGCAACAGTGACATGACAACCAGGAGGATAGTACAATGTATTACAATCCCTGCTTTATAGCGACTTCAGTATTTCTTTAACAAGATATTATAGTAAATGCAGAGAAAACTATTATCCTTTCATGGCTTCATAAAATCTTTGTGATAGAAGAAGAAAATAATAAAGCTGAATAAAGCTAAATTTCACAAAGATCAGAACCAAATTTTTAACATTACAAAAATTACCTACTATTTACCATGTATAAAAGTCCTTCCAAGTTGCAATATTTACACTTGTATGCTTTGTGCATTAACTAACCCTTGGACAGATTAATTCCATTATTGTTTTTTTTCTTAAGTCATCATCTATGCAATCCAATACAAGCCAATCCATAGGCAAAACTAGCCTGCCCTCTGGCCTGCAAGATTCTCATGAATAACAAAGCAAGTTGCTTTGGTTCTCTGGCAGGATTTCATCCGTCACAAGTACTTTCATTATATCCTATTAATATTATATTATTTATTTAAATTTATATTATATTAATTATATATTATATATTATAATATTATATATTATAATATTATATTAATATTATATTTATTTAAATTTATATTATATTAAATCTGCTCACATATATACACTTTACATCAGTACAACTAAATTATCATCAAATTATAAGTTCTTACTCTTTCTACCATTTATAATAAATACACTAAAAACCATATTTGCAATACAGTATCTGGTGACAAATCTCTGCAGCAACATCAAGTTAAACCTGTGCAGTCAGATAGTATTAACTGAACAAAAATCCAGGTAAGCTACAAGCCTTAAAGAAGCTGAATTGTTGCCATCTTTCAGCATTGCACTTTGTTATTCAAGTGCCCCAAGCCTATTCACTTACGATTTCTAATATGCTTTCACATCAGGATGATTTTCCATTACTTCATTTCTCTAATAATACATGTTCATAGCTGTGGGTTAGTATTAAAGAAAGAAATTGACCTGAGGAGATTTGAGTTAAGTATTCTACCCAGTAGCCTTGTAGAAATCATGAAAAAGGGATAGTCTCATGTCCTGAACACAGTCATTTCATTCTAATGGATTTTATACTGAATTATTTTTTTACTAGATGTAAAGGTTTATATAGCCACTATACAAGCTAAGCACATAACTGAAAGATTAAGAATAAAGCTATAGCTCTGACAATCATACCTGCATTATGCTCATATTAAGAAATTAATTCCTAAAATGGAAGAAATATTCTTTTAAAATAGAGTAATTAATCAGCAACAGTAAATTTTATATTAATCTATAGCCAGATTTAATTGATCAATACTTGACTAAATGAGACTCTTTCGCTGACTTATTATTTTGCCTTTTTTAGTTTCTTTTTGCATGGTTCACTGCATTTATTTTTTTTTTTAATTGAATTTTTTGTTTTTTCTTTTAACGTACATTGCAGCCTCTCCAAAATTTCTGAATTTCTCTGGCAAACTGTTGAAAACATATGGGGAACAAAGGAATGGGGGAAAAAAAAAGAAAACTATCACTGAAATTTCTTGTGGGAATATTTGAAGCGTAGAGAAAAAAAAGTGTGTCAGTGCGTGCTTTTATTTTATTGCACACACTTCAGACTTGTCTACTGAACATGACAGTTCTAAACATCTGAACACGCATTAATTGCGCTTATTTTTCCCGTAATTTTTTAATCAGAAGCTGTTAAACGCTTTTTCATATTCATCCCTTTCATTTGAATAGCATCCTTTACTTTGAAATAATTTACTGGGAGAAATTGTACTGCTTTAAAGAAAAAAAAAAACAACATTCAAAGAGTTTCCAGGTACCACATCCTCTTTCAATTTAATTATACCAAAGCCTTCTCAACCGATATTAACTTGGTAATATGATGGAATTATCATTATCACCTAATCTACCTGATACTCGCTGGTAAACTTTCTCTTTCAGTACATGGTAGCTGAAGTTTAAAAACAGATGGTAAGACTGAATATGCCAAAACATAATCATAAACTAAATGAGATGTGTTTATAAGTAGAAGGGCAAAAGCTCGCTTGATCTTGATTTTCAGTACGAATACAGACCGTGAAAGCGGGGCCTCACGATCCTTCTGACTTTTTGGATTGCTCTGAAAGTAATGCCTCCCATTTATTTGGTAAAACTACTCAACAGAGCAAGTTCTCAGCTATAAAGAACTATTTTCAACATACCGCCAGTAACCATCCATTTTCACGAGCAGTAAACAAGAGCCTGCATGCAACCCTTAGAAAAATCTGCACATGCAGAGGTGAGCCACTCACGCTACTGCTGAAATGCACCACCCAGCCCCATCCATGTGCTCACATCCACTGTTTAGTCTCCATAATCATTCAGCAAACACTGATGAATGTCAGTAGGAGCCATTTTTTCCACTTGAAGGAATTCAATGACACACCTTTACTTCATCTGCACTTTCAAGTCAGACATCATTCTGTCAGACTGCCCCTCTGCTGTCATCTGTCTCACAGCAAAATAATGTAACAGCATACTGATGGAAGGGCTCAATCTCAACTGCCATACCACCAACATCCACTACTGATGTCATGAGCCAACATAAAATAGGAAGAATTACTATCAGTGCAGTTCTTGTATATAGTCATGATGAATTAGCTGTTACCTGCACGCAAGAAATAAATTCTATTTCAAGCTGAAAATATGAACTCTTATGGAATCTAACAAAAGTGCAATTTATTATAACAAAAAAAAAGTAATACAAAATATATTTTAGGATTTCCATACCTTCTCTATAGTGTTTATTACTCGTCAATTATTTGGAAAAATGACTCTTCATCCTGAGAGTAGGGAGTGCCAAAAGCTTAGACTGGTAGCAGCTGCAGATACTGTTTCAGAGTTGTTTTCTTCTGTCATCCAGCTGTTTTTCCAGCAACAAACTCATACCAGTTACTGTTTCTGTATTGTATATAGAATCCCTGGGAAATCCATATTCTTTCTGTGCCTTCTTGGTTACCAGCCAACTCATTTCCTGCTCTTGAGATATTTGTGTATTAACAAGATTTGCTCATATGTTCCGAGTACCAGATTCAGTGCTATCAAATAAAGGTTCTGAGAGGAACTGCTGGCATGAAGCACTTTTTTTCCTGCATGTTTGAGCATATCCAATGCATGCATTCCATTCTGGTTAAATACAATGACCTTCACCCTGACAATTCTTCTCAAATGAATGGTCAGTATTTAGGAGGTGGCTTTTATCATTCAGAAGCTGAGTCAAGCAATACTAATTAGGTGGCGTTGTTTAATTTTATTTTTTTTTTTTAAGAAATGTGAACAGCACTAATACGGAAAAAATATTTAAAATATAATGAAAGGAAATTATAAATGACTACTGACAGTGAGAAATTTTAACTTGCAGTTAAGATGCATTGGTATCCAAGGTAGAGCTCTGTTTCTAGCAAGAGAGGAGTGTTTAAACTTCAGTTTGTTTCTAAAAATCAATAGTTTTAGTGAAAAACTTTGGAATTTTCATAAACATTAGGAACATTTGTTTCTTTTTTTTTCCCCTCACAAACCTATTACAAAAATATATCAAAAGAAGGAGTAGCCAATAAATAAAATAATCATTTCAAGGTTTTTTGTTTGTTTGTTTTTACAGTTGTTAGTAGGCAATAAAAAGAATGGAAATTTTTCTCTACAGTAGGATGCATTTTTTGAGCAAAGAGGATTCAATGCATTTAATGATCCAAGATACTACAGTACTAGCTGTCTGAAAAATATCAGGAGGAAACAAAAACAAGATCTAGAACTGCTGAATGAAGAGTGAGAAGGTGAATAATAATGAAAAGAAAAATGAAATGGGAAAAAGAACAGACAGAAAGGAAAGGGCTTTTATTTTAAATGAGATTGTAATGTTCTGCTGAAAAATATTGGTCTTCATAGTAATCCTTTTTATAGTGAAGACTAATCAAGCTCTAGGCAGAAATAAAAATATTTTCTATTCATTATAAAAATAATACAGTGAATTTCATTAGGAGTGATTGTTTCTACCACCTGCTTCTAGTATTTAGTGTTAAGATTTTATAAATTACTCAGCACCTCATACTTCATGAATAAATGTGTCAGAGTCAATCTCAAATGACCAAAAAAACTTGTATATGTGTATATGCATATACATAAAATAAATGTAAAATACTAACACTAAGAAAGCATAATATATTACACTTAAGCTTCCTTATTATACTTTTTTAGTTGGTGGTTTTCTTTTAACTAGACCAAGTCTTTACTCTGCAGCAAAAGGTTTCATTAATTATAATAGAAAGATAATCATCTCTTTGCTGCAAAAAGAA